GGTCCAGGATCAGAGAGCCCCAGCTCACTGCTGGAGGTGAGGGGGCCAGAGCTCAAAGCTATATGGGAAGGGGAGTAATGCGCAGCCAAGCTTGGCTGTGGGAGGAATGGCAGAAAGCCCGGCGCGTGGCTCAGCTAAGCTCCAAGGGGGAGGACAGCGGCTCAGCTGAGCTGCAGGGCGAGCCAGGAAGCCCAATGGGGACAGAGTATGGGGAGGTTCAGCCGCAGGAGGGCCAGAAATGATCTCCCCTGGTCCGTAAAAATCCCTCATCCCACACCAGTCAGGTCCAGAGGGCTCACTTAAGTGTATGAGCTCATTGAAGTGGAGTTGACACACCTGTCTACCGAAACTGGGAGACATGCTCACAGATGCAATGTAGACAGAGCCTAAAAAGCTGGATGGATATTAATTCCAAAGAACACTTCAACACTTGGACAGAAAGAAAACACATACAAAATATTCACATTCTCCCATACAAAACTAGATTGTCTTGGGGAAAGACAAATAGCTTACTACTAGATTAAAGAAGGTAGTAAAACTACTCTTAACTTCACCCTTCTCCCAGCTATCCATGAGATCACTGATTAACTACGGTATATCATGGATTTTTTTCTTTTCTAATTTAAAAGTTGTAAGTTATGTAATTTGGTGCATATGAAAAGTATTAGCATCGGAACACAAGTTTTCCTTTACTAAAGAATAGATGCAGTAGTGGAACAGGACAGTATACATTTCTCCACAACGATCCACTCTGCATATGAATGAAAGAGTAACTTTAGTCCTTTGCTTCTCCTCTGAGACTGCCAACAAAGATGTCAATAAATACATATTGTAATATCTTTAAATTATGTTGACAGGCAGCAATTAGAATGACAAAAGTTTATAGTCACTACTCACTCTCTGGGCCAAATCTGAACCAGGTATTTGCCTTGTATTGCAATAGAACAGTGGACCCCAACGCAGGGCCCACAGGCGCCATGGCACCCGCCGGGCCATTTATGTACGCCCACCGAACAATCTGTGCCGGCTCCGGCCCCAGGCGCATGGCACATACCGGTGCCGGCCCTGGGTGCGCAGCGCATGTGTGGACCCCGGCTCATGCGCAGCCCCACCCCTGGGTGCATGGCCCGTGAGTGGCTCTACCCCAGACATGCGGTACATGAGCGGCCCCACCCCCAGGCGCCCGGCAGCCCCAAAAGATTGGGGACCACTGCAATAGAAGGTCTGATAGCAGGTGCAATTTTGAATATTTTAATTAAAAAGCAATTAGTGTGGCATGTCACATGATATGGTTATGATTTTGGTTTCACAGATTCTACTTTTAGCCAAATAAAATTGAGTGTTCATGAAATACAGTAAAAATGGGTCATTAGGTTTTGGCATATGCTTTACTGGGAAACAGAGTAAAAGCTATATCATCACTGAAATGGAAACCTGATGTACTAGACCCAAGTATATCAAACTGAGTCAAGGCCATATGAGCCACTGACCTGTTTGCTTAGGGTCAACTTGATGAAAAAGAAAAGCTTAAAATCACAACCACTGCAGGGGGGGAAGAGGTGAATCTGTACAGGAAAGTAGCCAATTTAGAAACGTGATGGGGGCTTGGAGAGAGCCCAGATATGGTGGGAAGTCCAGGACTGATGATGATAGGCATGAAATATCTCTGGAAACAGGACAGCCAATCATCACGCTACTCCTGACTGAGTGATTTCTGCTCTCATTCACCTTGCTCCACTTAAAGTGCACTCTGAACGATGATGTGTCAGAAATGGATCAGCTAGTGAAGCACTGAAATTAGTTATGGCTTTTTCATCAACGTCTATTTGCAAGACTAGATTGCAAACACGGATTTACCTGAAAAATAAATGCTACTCCCACTGCTGGAGATGTTCACTGCCCGAATAGCAACTGCATTACTTTTCTCCACTTCATCTCATCAAAGTAACTAAAGGCTTCCCACTGACAGTGTTTTTATGAGATTTTGAAATGAACTGCTATAGCAATTGTTTGTACCTTTTCATTTTAACCTACCTTAAAGCCCCTCAGCAATTGTTTTAATACATTTACATGGAATCTTAGTTTTGAATTGCCAGAAATCAGGGAGAAATATTTGGTGTATGCGAATAAATCGTTAAAATACACATGGGCCATCTCTGTCACCACTACACATTCACTTCTGCCATATTTCTTCCCAAACTGCATTATTTTGCCAAACTACACCCAGAATTCAAAAAAAATTGTTTTTGCTACCCTCAGATCCCTCCTTGACCTTTCACTTCCTCTTTTTTCTCCATACAGGATCTTAGGATGCGTCTAGATTACATGCCTCTGCCGACAGAGGCATGTAAAATAGGCTACCCAACATAGTCAATGAAGCAGGGATTTAAATACCCACAGCTTCATTAAAATGAAAATGGCCACCACGCTGTTCCGGCTCAGCTGATCGTCGGCACAGCGCGCGAGTCAAGATGCGGATCGGTCGACAAGGGAAGCCTTTGTCAACCGCTCCCTTATGCCTCATGAAACAAGAGAAAGAATAATGATAATTATATACATGCATATTAAATTAACATTTTATTATATCTCTTCCCCCATCTCCTTCAGTGTCACTCCCCTTGGACTCCTCACATTCAGGGCAAGAACTGGGTCTTTGTATGATTTTAGAGCACCAGGCTTATTGGAGTCCGTTGCTGATTTGAGGCCTCTGGCCACTACTACAGCATACTTATTAAATAATTAGAGGCATAATTTAGGGAGTCTGTAACAGGGTCCTCTTGACCTTTGGACCCTTTTGTACTCACAAAGCAGCTGGAGACCTCTCTTTCAGTGCAATCACCTGTGCTCTTTATTGTAAGTGTCAGTTCTCACCACTTCCTATTTACGAAACTTCAGACCTGTCAGCTCAAGGACTGCTAGCTTTGGCAGCTAGCCATGGAACTCAACCTTCTACTCCCTCACTCCTCCCCTTCCTCTCCCTCTATTTTCTTCCTGTCAGCCTTCTGTAGCCCTGAGGCTAATGAGGCCAGCAACTGTTCCCCATTTGCCCCTTGGCTTTGGGCTTACTCAGCCAGCTCCAATTAACTTTTCCTGCTAGAGTTAGAATGACAGAGCTCTGGCTCTGGCTTCCTAGCCAGTAGCCTGTCACAGGGTCGTTTCAAATGAAATAGCTGAACACTTGTGCAGTGGTTCACTCACACAATTTATGTGTAATTCAAAACCCAACACTCACTTAGCTACAGGAGCTGATAATCATGTTGATCAAAATGTTGAAGTGACCAGAGTGAAATGGCATAGGTAAAGTTGCTGAGTAGAGCTGACAGCTTTTGGAAAAGAAAAGCCGAGGGTTAAAAGAAACCACTGAGCAAATTACTCTCTGCCCCATCAGTAGCTCTCACATCTGAACTGAAGGAAAGCCGTATATAAGATCCTGAAATGTATAGTCCTTTACATTCAAGAATTTTTAATGCCATGTCATTCAATGGAATTTAATTTGATCTCCAACTAAGCATACCAGGGTAAACGGCACATACTGCTGGAATAATTCTAACACAGATTAAAAATACACTCATGTTCCCATGAGTAGACCAAACTACATGACTATGAGAAGTCATTTCTGGAAGGACAGCCTTAGAAATAATGGATTGACATCACAATGACATTTGGCTTTTGTGACTCCGTAACAGGTTTTCTGATCCATAAATAACATTAACATGGAGGGGAAAAAAAAGACAATGTCCCATATGGGAGGTAATACTGGACCCGACCATGAGCCTCTCGTTCCCATTGGTGAGTTCTTACTCACTCAAGCAGCTCTATTAACCCAAAAGGAACTGCACAGTACTGTTTGCCACTGGCAATAAGGGATTCACAGTCTGGTTCAATGTTAGCATCAAATTTCTCATATTATTTGTAAGATACCTGAATTTTTTCAAAATCTGTTTCAGCCTGCATTTTATAAGATACACAACTTAGGAATTCTCCTTCTTAGACACCAAAGAATTCTCCTTCTTAGACACCAAAGATTAACTCATGTGGTCAATGCAAAATGTGCCCTGAAATGGAGTTTTGCCTGCACTGGCTCTACAAACTGAGCAGTATTTCATCATTATGAAAATGACATCTGTTTATGGTGGAAATAATTACTATTTAATGAACTTTTACTTGTCTTGAAGTCTTTTGCATTTTGTGTGGTTGAAAAAGATAGTCAGAATTCAAAGCTGGATCTGAACTTTGTAATTGGATGATATTGCTATAAAGCACAGAGCCAAAATTTCAAATTTTAATCACCCCCTAATTTTAACGTGTTAAATGACTAGATACCTAAAATCTGATTTTTACAGCAATTCTAATTAAAGTACAGATTTATAATTTAATTAAAGTCAACATATGCCACATTAACACACTGTTATACAGGATACATAGCAAGATATTACCATATGCTAGTGCTGCTGAATGCTGATTTTTTAAAAATTGTATGTTATTTCATTAAAAGCTGTCTTGATTACAGCAGTTCCAATCTTTTCAATCTCTTCTCCCATGGACATCTTTCCATTCTTCTAGTCATTTTGGTAACCTGGCCACAAACAGCTGTTTCTTATATTGTTGTGTGTGTGTGTGTGTGTGTGTGTGTGTGTGTGTGTGTGTGTGTGTGTGTGTGTGTGTGTGTGTGTGTGTGTATAAATATAAATAAATCTATGTGTGTGTGTGTGTGTGTGTGTGTGTGTGTGTGTGTGTGTAAAACTTGATAAATCAATGGAAACAGCATTTTAGTAGACCAGACAGACCAAGAAACAAATGTAAGATCAGATCATTTTTATTTCAAATTATTGCTTCAGTTAGACTGTGAAACTCTTTCTTCCAGTTTCATTATCCACACTTAATAGCTCACTACATCTGCACAAATAAATTAAATCGGATACAAATACCAGCATTGACCTTGAAATGTGTAGCAATGAAAATCAGTTAATTCACTTAACTAAAATGAGAGGTCATCTTACCTGCCAGGCAGAAGATGAAACACACTGTAACAAGATGACTGATTAAGTACCACATTTTCATCTTCTATTCAGAGGTGATTATTTCAAAAGGAATTCTGCCTTGCAACACAAATGCTCAGGGAACTAAAAATACCTGGGGAAAAAAAAGGAAGGAAAGAGTTCTGATAAGAGAATGTTCTTGCACAAACAATTATATCACCTATATTTTCCATGTTTCCTAGACAGAAAATTGTAAATATTTGTAAATTAAGGGGACTCTGGTAGACCAAGTGTATGATCACTCTCTATACAGTTTGTACTCATTGAGCATCTTCCATCTAAAGATCTCAAAGCAATTTATAATCAATCATCTGAACCATTCTAAGTCTAGAAGGGTTAATGCAATAGGCTGTGCTTTGGCTCATCTTTCAAAACCAAAACCAGGATAGGTTTGGATATGGTTGCAATTTGCATATACATCTTACAGCTTAGAGGGCTTGGGGAAAAGTTTCTCGTTTATAGCATATGATATAAATCCAGATTCTCTCAGCCTTACTCATGCCAACTAGAAATTTACAATATAATCCCAAGGATTTCTGTGTCATATACATAAAAATGACCATGATATAGTGGCATATAATCTCTTTCCAAATGCATTTCCTTTTCCTGTCATGTTGTAGCTATTAAGAGTTCTAATCTGTAATTGACAAACCCATGGAAAGACAATATTAATTTTTACTCTCTCAGTAGGTTTTTTTAACCTTGAGGTGCAATGAATGCAATGAACCCAGTAATGGATGCACACTGCTTCATTTGGATCCTTCCAGAGCAGGATCCATACCTTCGGAGAATTCTTTGGAGACATATCTTTGGAGAATTCTTTGCTTCTATATTTCCTGCTTCTTTAAATTGGAATATTTTGCTAGCTTTTACTTTCCTGCTAGTTGTTATCTATTTCTTTAGGCAGTGAGTCATGGTGTCTGAAGTATATATTTTGTTTTTTTGGATGGATTTCTTGCTATCCATGTTGTCTTGCTATGCACCAGCACTCGGTGACTAAGGGGTTAAGTAATGTCTCCTAGCCAAGGTATCGGGTGGTCAGTCAATTACAATGCAGGTAGGAATTTCAAACTGGAAAAGAGGAATTTTTTTCTCTCTCTCTTCTTTGTTTGAGATTTAGAACAGTTTCTCCCAGCTATTGAGGGAGATGGGAAAGGCTTCTCTTTCCAAGAACAGACTTCTTAAAATGTATAAGTAGGAAGAAGTTTAGATAGTCCATCAGGGTTTATTGTTTTCCTTGTTTGGGGATTTGGTAATAATGTCTGAGTTTGCTAATAGTTTTCTTCTCTTTTGTAACTGAGCCTTCAGCCCAGAGACTTTCCCTGAGTATCTATATCAAATGGTGGCTCTTTCCATCTAGCCAATTTACTATGCTTGCAACTGTAGTTTTGTTTTGGTAATAAAAGATTAGTTTTTTTCTAATTAACCAGTATTGGTTGATGGTTGTGTCCTTAGGACTCACGGCCTAGTTACAAGGGCAGAATCCATTGTTGTCTGTGGATTCCCTCTGTTTTTCCCAACTCCAAGCAAAATGGAGGTTGGGGCATGGGGAAGGGGGTTTCCCAAGTGATCTCTTCCCTGATTTTCTTGGAATTACTTGGGTGGTGGCAGCGTCCCCCAAAATCTGGGTATTAGGATTTTGTGGGAGGAAGTTTTCGTATCAGAACCTATAGAGGCAAGGTTTTGGAGTGCTCTTGAGGGCCCCCAACTTCTACATTTGTCATGCCAGAGTGGGGAACAGCCTTGACACATGTATAAAAACATTCTTTGCATCCATCACATCTTCTGCTCATTGGTTCTGCTGTGTCATTAGTTTCTCTATTACCCATGGATAGGATATAATTTCCATCCCATCCCTGATGGAATATATCTGCATATGCTATCCATGCATGGACACCATCCATTTGGTTTACTTCAGTTTTTAAGGGGTTTAATTTGCCTTCATGACTCTATTCCATTATACAAATATGGTGAAAATATACTTGAACACCTTTCAATCAAGATTAAACTCTTCACACAGTGTCTTTAAGATCCTTTTTTGCTTTGGACTCCAATGCATGATTATATATTGGCCAACACAAGCATCATGAAGCCTTTCTTTTCTCAGATCCAAAACTGCTTTCTACCAACCTGTTTGTCATATGCTAGGGAGTCTGATTATGTCTTCTGGCTTTTCTCTAGACACCATTTAGCAACATTACAGACACTGAAATCAAGGGAAGTTAGGCACCTAAATAACCTTTGAGGATCTAGGCATGTCATGGTTGAGATTTTGTACTGTTTTTAAATGTAAATGCCTTTTACTCTTTTTTCTTACTTGCTCACGCTCCATTTCACCTACCCCTTTCACCTGGTTTGTCCTAATGAGCACTTTCATGAGAGCTATCTGGGCAGCTGCTGATTCATTATCATGTACATATTTTTATCATGTACTGATTGCTAACAGGATAGTAAGCCTGCAATAGATGGGTGTGACCATATAGGAGAAATAATAGGCGGATAAATATTTCCAGGTCTACTGAAAAATTGACATTGTTGAGAAAAGAAAACAAAAACACCACAGAGGTAGGATTCTGTAATACCAGAAATACAGATCTTTGAACTTTAAATTAGATCGATTTAATGCTATATTCTGGAATGAATGGCATTTGGATTAATGGAAATTCTGTTGTTTCTGAGATCCCACAATGCTCTGGTCAGGTCCAGCTCAATGCTCCATTTGTGTGTCCTCTTCTTAAGGAACAACCTAGGAAATTTAAAGTGAATCCTTATCTAACCAATCACAGACCTATGGGGATCTCTTTCATTGATCATAGCATCATAGAACACTATAACTGGAAGGGACCTCAAGAGGTCATCAAGTCCAATACCCTGCCCTCGTGGCATGACCCAGTACAGTCTAGACTATCCCTGATAGGTGTCTATCTAACCTGCTCTTAAATATCTCCAGAGACAGAGATTCCACAACCTCCCTAGGCAACTTATTCCAGTGTTTAACAACTCTGACAGTTAGGACAGTTTTTCCTAATCTCCAACCCAAACCTCCCCTGCTGCAGTTTAAGCCCATTGCTTCTTGTTCTATCCTCAGAGGCCAAGGAGAACAATTTCTCTCTTCTCCTTGTGACACCCTTTTAGATACCTGAAAACTGCTATCATGTCCCCTTCTCAGTCTTCTCTTTGATTGAATTTCCATGCACCTTTGCACCAGTACTGATGATGGGATTTATTAAAAAAACTATATAAAGTCGCATAATA